CGACAGGTCGTTCTTTGACTTCATCTTTCTTCAGCTTGTTTGTATACAAATTTTCTAAGTAGCAGCTTATAAGCATACAATTTCTATACTTTTAAAATGAAAAATGCCTGAAAAACTCACAATTGCACCTAGTTTACCATCACTGGCGGAAAATACCTAAAACTGCATACAAATATGATTTAATGCCACTGTGTTATATCGATTAGAAAACATATTAACCCCTTTATCTTAACTGTCTTAAAATATCGCCTGAAATTGTATACGTTATACAAAAATAATATCTATGTATATTCTGATTTACAAAACTAATTAATATGAGAATGTTTGAATCGCACAATTAAGCCAACTGGCATAACAAAGTTCGAAACTGAGCTTGCCACAACCAAGGCCATGCAAGTTCAACGTTAATTGGATAATTAAAATCAAAAGCGGACACTTTTATTGTAAACGCTATTTGACGAGAATTATGAGAGCAAGAATGCATGTATAGGGTGCTTTATTTGGAATGGAGAATTTTTATACATTTTTACTTTGTGGGAATATCTCGAAGATATTACAGTTATCAAAATACATATGTCAAAATTGTATTCATGTCTGCCCAGCAAAAAAGAGATCAATACGATAATTAGTTATTTTCCAACATGATTTATTTATAAGATCCATTCATTTCCGATAAAACTGCAATTTCTCCGGACAAATCCTTGAGGTGCTGGTAAACGATGAAAGTAGGTCTCATGAGAATAGGAATTCACTCTCATTCTCACCGTCTAATTAGTAATGATAGTCGATATTCATTCTCATCCTGGAATTCTCATAAGTTCTTATAAATGGAATATTCTCACCCATGTAGCAAGTGTGTTTGAGAGCTTTATTACACTCTCACTCATATTCTCAGCTCTAATATGCTACATGTTGAGAATGTTTATTCTCAGCTGTACACAGTGTGAGAAGCCTAATAAAGCAAGACTGATAGAATGCAAGATTGCGCCAATCAAGCTGTGAGAAACCCGGTGTGACGTCATAAGAGGGAGAGAATAACAGAGAAAGAGTAAATTGTAAAGAAGAAGAAGAAAACTCGAAACCATTCTTCAGCCTTTTTAATTTGAACATATATACGGTACAAGCTCACCCTTTTAGGTACATCTCGAAGGTAGCATAATAACTTGTCGGGAACATTTTATCTTATTTTTATAGGCATTTCAACGCATTTTCACGGGTGTGAAACTTTTCCAATAGCCTCCCTTCTTTGTAAAAAAGCATAAGCATTGGCTAACAAATAGTTTTGGCTGCTCGGAGGAGTTCCTTCTAAGGCTATTTTTAATAGCAAAGAGCGCTTGACATGAGTAGCGAAGTAGACATGTTACCGAAGGAAGAGTTTTACCATCCACTATCAAAATTGTATACACATAAAAATAAATACTTTTAAGTAACATTTTTTTGGAAGTCCTCACTTCTTCATTCAAATTTTTGTTTATATTTCACAACGCGCACTATGGTATTTAAAATATAGTATTTTATTGTCACTTCAGACACAAGAAGCAACAGAAAAATACACGTTAAGCGTACCGTCTTTTTTTATTTGCCTTGCTGTTTCCTTAAAAAAAATTCTGATTTAGAGTTTGTATGCTTTAATGCTCGGTTCCTCCTAATAGTATACCCTATACATTAAAGTATTAAAATTTCTATCAAGTACAGGCATTGTAATTTGAACTACATGCAAACGTAGTGAGTACTCAAATGACCCTCTAAGCAATGTAAGCAGGTGGATATTTTAAACGAGTTTGTTACACTTAACTAGCATTTACAAAGTACTCGTAATAATTATACGACACTACTACAACGCCTCGTTCATACATTCCTCTTAAATATTCTTCGTTAATCGCTTTGGTAGCAACCGGCGAATCTAAATAAATCCACATTTGTCTATTATACATAGACGTGATTTTATATTGAAGTGTAAATAAAAATGTCTATTTTATAATCTAGCGAGTTAAAATTTCAGTCTGTAAAGTTGCAAACGGCAAATGCAATAATTAGAAACCGGGCGTTACAAGTTTGCTTTACTCAATGCTTAGTTTTTATTGCTTCGATATTTAAAGTCACAAAATTTTTTTTTTTTTGTTTCATCAATAAGTTTTTTACATAAACGAATTGAGAATATCTTTAAGTATTCAGAATTCGAAAATATGTACCGTTTTTAATTAATATACCGGGTTCGAATTAATTAAATATAATTACGGTTTTAATTTAGTCAATTCGGTCACCTTATTTATTTACATATTTATAACAAGTACATACGTACGAGGATGAAATTATGATTATAGACATACACTAGGATGGAGCGTCAATGTATTGATAAAAAGAGCTGAATTCGAATGAAGGCTGTTCAGCCAATTTTTTATTCCCTACGATGATGACTTGTTCATGCGTAATTTGTTACAGCATACATACATACCACTCCGAAAGTGATACCTCCAAAACACAAATATATGTTCGCGGCAAAGCTTTTTTAACCTGTTTCGTAAAAGATCCGAAACGTAATATTCCATTTAAGTATCTAATTGAATTAGACTTTTAAACAGGTGGCAACCCTATTTAAAAGTATTTCTAAATTAAATTGTTGTTGCATCATACAAGTTCCCCAACGAGCCTGGCCAGATAAAAATCTGGGTCATTCCGGTTACGTAGAACCGACTGTCGTGGGAACGAACCATCCACCTACTGTTGGTGGGTGCCCTGGGTATTCTCTCAATTTCTGAAGACAAAAATCGCAGGGGAGGTTTTACGCTCTAGATAAAAAAAAGTCCAACGTCGGATCCTTTTCAGGTGCCTTCGCCCACTTCTTCATTTCCCGGGACCCACTACATACTATGTCCCGGAACCCAGTAAAGATTGATTATCTGTTGCTGTAAAGCTTGTAGGGATCTACGGCATTCCTTGACGCATATCAACCCTAATTCTATGAGGGCAGTTTAACTGTTAGCAACGAAGGTAAGTTTAGATGAAGCTAGGTCGATCGTGCTCACCAGCTTGGCCGCCATGTCGATTGCATATATCTCAGCCTGGAAAACACTGCAGTGATCTGTGAGTCTATAGGACTCTCTTAGAGATAACTCGGGAGAGAAGACGCTATATCGTGTTCTAATTTACATTTTGGAGCCATAAAAATATAAATATTAAACTCCCAGTCTCTTCCGTCGGGAAAATAGATATCGAAGTTTCGATCGAAGCCAGTTGCCCAGTGACCGGATAGTCACGGCTACTGTACTCAACTTCCACTCGGTCGAAAATGGTGGCTTGAGCCTTGCAAGTCGTTCGCAGTCTGTTAGACGCCCTGAGTCGTAGAACTCTTTTAGGCGCCGAATTTTAAAATATATGTCTATGGGTGGCATGTCCAGGAGTCTTTCTGGCGCCGCCTAAAGCGTTGAGTAAACCGCTCCCGTTATGCATAGGTACGATTGTCGTTGCACCTTTTGCAGGTTGAGTAGATAGGATTTGGTGTCAACTGCCTACCATCATGCCAGCGCACCATAGGTGAAAATAGGTCTAAATACCTATGTACCAGTGTATTATCAGCGGTCGCAGCCCCCAGTATTTCCCAATCGCATGCGGGGCTTTTTATCTCCGCTCTTCGGATTCCTATTCCAGGAAAGTTTAGAGTCGAGAATATCCAACCAAACTGTGACAAACGTTAGTTTCCATACTAATTTATACAATAGGTAAGTCACAATTCTTGTCTTGAAAACTTCATCACGGTTTTTGAAAAAAAGACTTCAGCTAGAGAGTTGAAAGGCTCCACAAAAAAATTTTAAGCATCAAACCTCTTTGGGAGTCACAGAAGAAAATACATAAAAACAATAAAGTTGTTATCCAAAAAGACGAAACTTGGACCCTCTGTAAACAAAATAGCAAACTGCTTCTGGCGTTTTCGTCAAATTTGGAAAGGACAGTGGGGCAGGAGGTTAAAGCCTTTCAAATAGTACTGCAGTATGGTTCCTTCACGGAGACAAAGGTTAAGACCGTTTTCGTTCTTCTAGAGAAGGAGGGAATGTGAGTACCACTGTACAACTGATTTGTGGTTAGAACTGTGGCGAGTGAAGATGCCATAATATATAGTCTATTGGATCCATTGACAGCTTCAAATCGGCCGATCCGGCTGGTTGCATTTAAGACGTCATTGATCTTCTCTTGTCTTGTTGTTCTCATGTGTCTATTACCACCCAATGCAAGGATTATGTATGAGGGATTTTTGGAAGCGATGTGTTGATTTATTTGTAAATCAAGTATATATATTTAAAATAGATTAAAAGGAACTTGGAAATATAGGCGGCATGTAGCCTGAGCGGTGCTTTTTGTACGCGTTGTTTTATGTAACCATTTAGATCCGAAAAAAGCTTAAAGCCACCAGACACCTACTTTTGCATCTCCTACCAACAGATGAGGGTGCTTCGGCATAACAAAACGGGCCACTGGTTTCTGTGTACTGTAGTTTCTTGGCTGGTGGTATCAGCCATTTTTTTTAAGTGCCATACTGGAATCGTGAATTCGCGAAAATTTCCTACTGGCCACAGTTTTCACTCACTATGTGAAGATGTTTTGGGTACATTGCCTTTTGGACTCGCGCTCATCGCCGCTATTTGGAGGCACAGTAACGACGGCAAATACAAATGTAAGTAATATATATATACACAAACAGCATGAGATATATAAATATGGGCGCTAAAAGAAAAATCTCTCTGAGAGTGAGAGTAGAGAAATGCTATTTTGAATTTACGAACGAAAACAAATTCCATTTTTGTATGGAGAATGTCGTTGCTCCAACAAGTATCGCCGACAACGCAGAGCGTGTAATAGGCCTCGGCTCTCCAATATCAGCAGTCAACTGCACAATACTCGTACTAACAATGACAACCACTGATAATAGAAGGTAAGGCCAACAACAAAAGAGCAATCAAATGCAAGCGAGCACCAGTTTGGGAAAAAGTGCAATGAAAACGAAATTGAATTCGTCTCGGCATCGCGGCATTGTGGCACACCGTGTGGCGGCGCATCGTTACTTAGCAGCTTCGCGTTGCCGGCTCAGTGCTTTGTGCCGTGTGTCTGTCTACTTTTGGGTAGTCAGTCGTATGCATCGCTAGTATCGGAGCGGTGCATTGATTGAAATCGATTTGGGAGAAGAAAAAAATAAAATAAAATAAAATAAAAAAATAGAAGACCAGTCAGTGACAAAGTTAGTGATTGCAAGCGCTGTCTAGCCAAATGAAGCCCAGCCAGGCCAGGCAGACGAGTGTTGTATGTTGAATGGTGTTGTTGCTTTCTCGCCATATTCGGAAAGCTCAAATAGGTATTAACGTAAGTGATTTTCCAGCTAACTAGCGGCTTATTTGTGGTTTAATTGGATAGACTCTTTGTGTGTAGTGATTTTTGCGCCTGGTTTCGTTTTCTATGCAGCCTCAAAAAAAAAAAAAAGTGTTGTGCAATTACCAAGTTTGTTATTTAATTACTAAAACCACAACCGAGCATTGTGGCCAAAATTTATGGCTGATATCAACACTAACGGCAATAACAAAAGCAAAAACAACAACAAGCCAAATAGCAGCCAAAGCGCAGCGTTTGGAAGCGTTGTTGAACAATGAAAACTTCTAGTCGGATAGCGCGAGTGCAAAATGTTGGCAGCAGTCGGCGGGCAGTTGTGAAACGGTGGGCAAGCGTGTTGCTAACAAAATTTGCTGCCAGCAGAGTGCAAAGTGTGAAAAAAATAAATTCACTAAAAAAAAAAATTGCTAATAAAATATATCTATATATGTATATTGTTTTTTACTTAAATGCATTCAAACTCTCTTAACAGTTTTGTGTTAAAATTATAGCAAGCTGATAAATTAAAAGTTATGATTTTAAATGCATGAAAAAGGTGTGAAGAAAATTCAATAAACGTTCGCTTTTGCGGCAAAGTGGTTGCGAGTTTTCATCGCCGTAATGGAGTTGCACTAAAAATAGCTGTGTCAGCCAGTAAAATAACAAAACAAGAACAACAACGACTTTGCATTGGACAACAATAAATAAGACAGAGAATGCAGTCGATATGCATGCATGCAAATACATACATTCTACATACATATGTACATGTATGTAAACAAGTACGTAAATGAATGGCGCCGGCATTGGTTGACTTCGTGTCTGTCTGGCTGATGGTGTGGCGACTGTTGCACGCACAAACTTTGCCTGCATAAAATGCATACAAACATTTACATATACATACATATCTACATAAGTATATTAAACATTTAAGTGTGTGGTATGTACTTAAAGTGTATGTATGCGCATACCTATTCATATACATATTAATGTGTGTGTATGTTTCCACATATTTACATACTCGTAGATAAAATTTTATGTATTTACGCTGGTGAATGCGGTACTCCACCCACACTTTGTCTAGCATTACCCAGTGAGACAAATTGTAGAGGAAGGAACACTGAAGGCGAAGCAAGACATATGTATCTATTTATCTTTTTATGTTTTAAAAAAATATGAATGTGAAAAAATTTATAATTGGGATTTTAAATGATTGTGGAAATAGAGCAATGCCTCAGATACATAGACATACATATATGCCCAACTATATACTAGTTATCCCCCCACCTGCTTTGCTACCTCGCTGAGTTTATAATATAGAAGATTTTCAAAATTTTCCTTCATAATATTTTCAAACCGAAAAATTCTTAACGCTCTTTGCTCCGGCATATGTACATATATATTTCAGTTAACTCACCTTTTTAATCCAAGTTAAATTTAACTCTTTAAACAGGTGGCAACCTTCCAATATGTATAGAAATAAATGCTTTTCAAAAACATTTTGATTCTAATACATAATTAATTTAAAATATTAAATAATTTGAACTCAACTTAATTTTTAAACAGGTGGCAATCCTTTCAAACCGCACAATACTCTAAATGTTCAAACAAAATATTCCTTATTACTCTTTCGTTTGACACCAATGTTTTAATACATATTTAATATAAATTGTGTATAACTAAATTGTTTTTCAAACAAGTGGCAACGATCTTGAAACTATTTTCAAATTAAAACCTTCTTAAGTCTCCTGCCGGTGACAACCATATTGTGATGCATATTTCAATACGGTGGAGAAAATACAGAATGTGGCGCCGATCGGCTCTCAGTGACAGAATCAGCTGTTGTGCTGGCGTCACAGTCGAGATGACACCAGTTAAATGCATGTCCAAATTTTATGTCAAAAAAATTACGCTCAAGTTTGGAATGACAACAGAAAATGAATCAGTTTTAAGTGAGGAAAAATACGTTGAGTTTTTTTAAATGTCCAAAAATCTAAGCCCAATTTTTCAAATTTTCAAAAAACTCACTTTTGGTTTGGTTTTGTTTGACCAAAAACTTACTCCCTGGTTTAAAATGTTCAAAAATGTGAGCCCAGTTTTGAAATCACCCAAAAATGATGTCCAGTTTTTATATGACCAAAACTTAAGGCCAATTTTACACAAGAAAATTATATGCAACGTTAAAAAAAATTAATGCAGAAATTCGCAGTCGTTTGGTTCACTGGTGATCATTTTGTATCTATTTTAGTTGCGGCCGCTTATCATTTTCACAAACAAAAATATATTTTGTTGCTCTTGTTGCTTCAAAATACTAGTATGTAAACCAGTGTCTGCGCACTTCTGCTGCTGCGCGTAAACAAGTAGGAAGGAAATGTATCAGTTGAAAACACGTATATGTCCACTTATAACCCTGCAGGAAATGTATCTATTTATAAGCTAACTTTAAGTTGATTAGGAAGGAGCTAAAAGTCACTTATTATCTATATATTTCCTTTGCCGAAAGTTAACTATATTTCTATGGCGATGGCCGCGAAATAGTCAAGGGTGGTTACCTTTGCATTTGATGTAACTAACTTGTAACTAATTTCTTTTTGGACATAAAATATCAATAGGAAAAAAATATATTTTTTATTTTATTTTCTTTTTTATTTACTTTATTTATTTCTTTTACATTTCATATTTGTTTCCATATTCTGCTGTAGGTAGGTCCATATTCGAACTCCGTCAGACATAACTTCAAAATGATATGAAATTTCGATCTTCCTTTTATTTGTACTCAATTCGAAAAAGTATTTGCGAATTTCAGGATATTTAAATAGAAACGCGTTTAAAGAAAACAATCTCCTTCATTACTCCTGCATTACTTGTCAACTAGTTTCAAGTTAGCTTNTGATGTAACTAACTTGTAACTAATTTCTTTTTGGACATAAAATATCAATAGGAAAAAAATATATTTTTTATTTTATTTTCTTTTTTATTTACTTTATTTATTTCTTTTACATTTCATATTTGTTTCCATATTCTGCTGTAGGTAGGTCCATATTCGAACTCCGTCAGACATAACTTCAAAATGATATGAAATTTCGATCTTCCTTTTATTTGTACTCAATTCGAAAAAGTATTTGCGAATTTCAGGATATTTAAATAGAAACGCGTTTAAAGAAAACAATCTCCTTCATTACTCCTGCATTACTTGTCAACTAGTTTCAAGTTAGCTTTTTGTAGCTAAATACAAGTTATATATTTTATTGAAATCCCGCAAAAAAGCGGGTTATTTTTTATCAATTGATAATTTTTTTCTGCAGGGAATGTACATAGGTGTGTACATATGTACATATATGTATGCATATATATATAGATGCTCGTAGGAGTACAAACATACTCGCAACTACATTATGTTAGTCGCACTTAGCAGGAGAAAGTAAATAAAAAACAGTCATAAAAAAAATTAAAAATAGTGTAGCAGACTTAATTTGATTGCTATAGGCGCAAGTTAAGGAATAAGACGTAAGAACAGATAAGGAAAAACAGATTTAGTTAGAATTAGAAAGAAATGAGATTAAATTCAAGACAATATCTAATAGTTAATACAAAGTGTGAGTGGACACAATTTGCTTACATAGAAAAAAATATATATATATAAAAACTAAATTAAAAAAAAATTCTAAAAAGTAAGCCCGGTAGGAAAAGAATTTTAACAAAATACGTGAAAAGAAAAATCTTTATATATAAAACAATGTCGGATTAGACCCACAATTTGTAACTCAACTCGGCAGGACCAACTTTTATGGTTCTTGACTTGTTGAATATCAGATTAACTATTACAAAAAAAAAAAATGGAAAAAAGTACATTTCATTTTGCATAATTTTTATATGGAACGGCTTTTTGATGATATTTCGAGAACGGAATGACTGATTTCGATGTTTTTTTTTTATTCGTCTCGCTGAAGCAATCGTCTAGGCATCTCGAAGTCAGATCCGCACATTAAAATCATTTTTTTTTTTACTTTAAATATTATTTAAGTTTTTGTTATTTAATTATAGTTGTTGTGGCCTTCTGAATTAAAATTAAATACCAAAAAATTTGATTAACAACGAAATAATTATATGAAATAAGATATACAAAAAAAAGATAATAAAACAAAATTAAATAAAATAAAATAATTTTTATGTTAAAAGAAAAATATAAAATAAAAATAAAATTGTTTGGAATCGCTCGGTGTGGGTACCAAACTTGTGTGCTATTACGTTTACTACTTCAACAACAAAACCAAACTTAGAACCTTATTTCACCATTTTAAACCGCGTTCTCCTCATTTTAAAGTTAAAATTCTGTTTTTGCCATAAAATTCGTTTTAAGTTGACTATGAAAGAGTTAAAATGGTGATTACAATAAAACACAATTTTATTCATTAAAACCTTTTTCTAACTTCTCTATGACTACGGGCCATTGACTAAATTCAAAGGTAAAGAGAATGCATAATTACATCGAAAATGGTTGCTCACTTTCGTAAAAAATAATTACCTACTACGTGAAAGTTAACGACAAAGTCGTAGAAAAATATTCAAACTGCAAAACCAGCTTGGTTTAATTTACAAATTATTTTGCACATTTGTACATATAATTAAATTAAATTAGCACATTTGTTTTCTATTTCTGCACTAGTCAATGCAAATGAAGAATGCGCATTTCAAATGTTATCGCAAACAAAACCCTTACAAAACAAATACATATACAACAATAAAAATTTTATTGAATGCACTTAGCAATAAAAAACCATAATCGACTTAGTAGCAAAAGTAAGCACATTGATGATATGCGCACATTAACAAAAACAACAACAATAGCAATGCTAACACGCTTTCTTCTTTGCATTTATTTGACTAGCTCACGAACGGCGTTAATATAATTACAGCTATAATCTACAAAATGACTCAGTTCCATTAATAACTGACAAATAGCTAACAAGCGGGAGTAGAGAGACACTG